TTAGACATTCGTTCATGAATCTCCTTAGGTGCTTTCCCTTCTTTGGTGAGGAATTTGATCACTGAACGATGTTCGACTTTCGTCAAATCCATGACACAGACTCAGGAAAAGAAATCTAATGCACTACCACTTTGAACGGACTTGAGCCACTGAGCTGGTATAGTGGTGGGGCACTCACGAGACCTGTTGAGATATGTCACAGCAGGCACAGGCCTGTTGTTCATCCCTTTCATATTCAGGTAGATAACTTATTGAGTGGCCCTCGTACATTTTTAGGGAAAGGAAGCCCATTAAAAACAAACCTCGGGCGTAAGAAACTGTAACTGGAGTCTTATTTCCAGATGCATCGTCTGCAGAAGTTGCCGTTTCTGATTGGTTTGATGAACAAGAAGTTGAATTCTATTCCCAGGGAATAAAATCCTTGGAATCAGAGTGGAATAAGTGTGTTGAGTTAAAAGTTGACTACATTGAAAAATAAATTGTTGTTTTTCCCCTCGGATGTTTCTTTGTCATTCAGGTAGATAACTTATTGAGTGACCCTCGTACTTCGACCCCTGATGCAAGGGGCTGGATGTCTGTATGTCTCTACGCCTGTCTGTCCTGTGTGTTCGTGTGCCGAAGCGAAGCTTCTCCCGTACGTTAGGAGGAGTGCATCTTCACCTTCGGACTGGATAACATTCTTACCACAACCGACAACAACCGGTAACAGACGTTGCCAGTGTGTAACATCTACTTGGTTTGGAAGTATTTCATTCAGTAACAAATTCATTATAAAATGCTTATGGAGTTTGACTGAAAGAGAGTCATGAAGAGTGTATAGCGAAAGGCCTTGGTCAACTGGGTCATCCAGGCCTTCAGCCATTCTCTCGCAGCATATCATCGGGGGGGGGGGGACGAAATAAGGAGAGGCTCCTTATTTCGTTCGAGGGCTGTCTGAGACTGTCAGCGAGAAAAACCGTTCTGTCTTCACCCTTGTTTTTTAAAAAATCCTTGGAGCGAGACTTTCCTTTTAAATTTATTATCTATGACTTCCAGCTGGGAGTCTCTTATGTAACTGCGACAACAGCGATACCTCTGGTTTTGGCAGTGCTCTGAGCTCATAAAATATAGTATGAAGGCTTTCGTGATGAATCTCGGAGACTCCATTTTGGCTCTGGATTCTTCTGGGGTGCATTAGCACTTCCCAACACAATGAAACTAATGGGGACATGATGACTGAAGTAGTGTTATTTTCCCTTTCCCAAGTTGAAATTTCGTTCTTGGTGAAAAAACTTTCTTAATTATTAGGAGGGGATTTCGCCAATGTTGAGGAGATTGATTCGGCTCCATGATTCTACAAAATTGGTTACACGCGAGTCCCTGACTCACCAGCATCACTCCAGGAGGAGCATCGTGCCAGTGATCGGCGAGGAATAGCCATCGTGCGACGAGGGCGAGGATGAGGGCGGCATGGTCAGAATGGGGCGGGAGATGGAACTTGTGCTCCGTGCAGATCACGGTCAGGGCGACGATGATGAAGCCGGCTAAGATGCATGTGTGCTCTGCGTTTTCCATTTTGAAGAACCACCAGTGTTCGCCCATTCCCTTCACCGTGCTTTCTGCCACAACAAATTATGCATGCTATCTTACGACTAACTTGTCTTGAAGGTAATATAGTACCTAATATAGTAACGTAGGAAGCGAAAACAAGAAATATATAAATGGGAAAATAGCGAATAAAAAGTTAGCTGACTGGCAATGAAGCAGAAATTTAAGCAGAAACCTCTCGAATTCCAGAGTTCTACGCTATCTTTGCTCAACTTTTCTCCTTTGTAATTCGATTCGAAAAAGGTGAGTGGCGTAAGGAAGGGGAAGGGGCTCATAGGGCTTGATTTCCCCCCCTTCAATGGCTGTGACTCCTTTCCGCAGCGCTCATCATTCAGCTGCCTTAACTGCTGAGTCCTTCTTTCCTAAAATCCTGTGTGCGCCACTGAAAAAGGTATTGCAGATATTCGTTGTATGGCCAAAAATATACCAATGACTATTAGCTTATATGTTCTGCGCTCCTCTAAAGCAATTTTCCAAGACACGCACTCTGCCAACATAACGTATATTGCCAACAGATTTTCTCAAATTAATCTGAATTTGTTCTGCGAAGGCAAGGCTATTAGCTTCTTTCAAACTTCTTTCGAATAACTATTGTTTGATATTTGTTTGATATCACAAATAGACTAGAGCTAGTTCGGGTAGTAAAGTGGAAAAAATCACCTTCGCACAGTCCTTGAAAATCATCCAGGTCTAATTAGCTGTCTCATCCATTTAAATTCGTTCTTGGAGCTGGCCTTTCCTTGGAGACGATTTTGATAAACTTGTTGGAACCATTTCAACCCTTGTACATGACATCGTGAAAATTTCTCCAGTGAGAAGAAATATGTCAGTGTTAAAAGTCGTTCAACTTATTTTCTTTGCTAAATTCAGCCCATGACTATTCAATCATGGAATTATGACTTATTTAGTGCAGCCATGTAGCATATGCAGCTCAAGTTGACTGAGTGGAGGAGAAGTTCACAACATCGCAGTGGGTTGTACATGTAAGCTCCATTTTGGCGATTGTGCGGTAGTCATTTGCGCAATCTGCAGACAAGTCATTTATTTAATTATCCAAACAAACAAATGAAGCGAGATGGCGCAAAAATAGCTGATATTTCAGTGGTATCAGAGAGTGACTTGCTATACGTCTCATGCACTTTTTACGCGGTACGAAATATTTTTCCAAGAAAAACGTAAGGGAAGACATTCCCTTACGTTTTCCTCAATGCATTCGTCCAAGCAGGTTCAATAGTCCTGGCAGTTGTGGAGAAAGGATGGTCCATCTAGGGACTTGACTCCATGGGGTGAGGATGAAGTGGGGTGATGATGAAGGAAGCTGTCTCTTTAGAAAATTTAGGTGTGGGTGTGATCAAAGAGTTCGCTGTAAGTACCTTGCTTGTCAAGCACTTCCAGAGTAGAAGTACCAGAATAGAAGATGAATTCCAATAGGGGTTCTACCTCTGTCGGGAAACTGAAGGCCTTAATTGAAGACAATCGAGGGAGGTAGTACCCGCTGAAGTACTTCCAGCCAGACCGAGAGTCTCGGTAGAAGAGCATAGCAGTCATGTACAAATATAGACGCTTAATCTAAGCTTCTAAGCGCCTGAAAGTCATGCCGCACGTCAGCGTTTAATGTTAGCCCAACGGATGGGTTGGTGTTGGTTCATCACAGGACCAAGGGACGGGCCTCTAAGGACCCACATCGCACATGCAGGAATTCAACATAGCTTCTATGTTGGCCCAACGTGGATGTCCTGCCCGGCTAAATAACATTATATTCAATGCTCTGACAAAATAAATGCAATGATGATGCGCAATTTCCAACTCTTTTTTGGTCAGATTTTCCTTTGTTTTATTTTCGGCAAAAATACTGGGGAAAGGGGTTTACGCAAAGAGGCAGCTAACACCGGTATTTCTCCTTGTCATTCCAACAAAGGGCGAGAGCAATTACATATCATTACGTTAAAATCCGAACTCATCTACCACAAGTCATGCTGAAATACTGTATATTTCAACCAGCCTTGAATTCAAGGAAGCTCACCTGGAGAGTTGTTCCTTCAAGGTAATAACTTATGGTTATGAGGAGTAATTGAATTTATTAAAGGAATAACTCATACGGAGGACGATAAGCAGGGCGGCCATGGCGACGAGGTAAGCTTCCCAGGGCCGTCTCCATGGGAAGCACCGAATTGTGCATAGGAACGGAGGGGAATTCGGATCAAAGCGACTCCTATGCCACTTGGTCAGAAGGGTCCACGTCATGGCCGTGGCTGCCAGGGTCACCGTGAACCCAGTGAAGATGTGACCGAAGAAACTCTCCATCTTGATGCCACCGCCCAGCTGCGAACGAATGCGAACACTCAGAGGAACAACTCAGATATTTTGGCACCGAATGACAACTCGTTATCAAGTGTTGAGATGACATTTAATTAAGAGTTCTTACAAACAGCATGGGGGGGGGAGGGGATTGGGGACTGCATATGCGAGATTTATCAATGCATCAAGAGCATCGTTGAAGAGCAAGGAATGCATTTTCTGTTCCTTTTCCGTTCACAAACATTACTGAACCGATATGACAGGTCATCCCCAAAGGTAATGACTAAATGAATTTTAAATATCAGAAAAGAAAACAAAAGCAGATATGAAACATGGCTATCTTCGAGTCGCACACTGAAGTTTTACGAGTTCTCGTTCACGAGTATTCCCTGTATTAGATGTGGACGAAACTTATAAATAAATTTCTATTTATTATAACTTATAATAAATAAACTGAATCTTCTCCATTCTCTTCTTCGTTTTACTTCAGAGTTGAGCAGCATTTATAATTAAGTCAATGGCGATGTCTTCAATAATGAATTACAGTTGCAAACTGCGTTCAGTGTTTTGTCTTCAACGTTTGCATATTGCCAATGAGAGTGACTTCAAGGTTGAAGCAAGGACAAACCAAAGTCATAAGATATGAGGACGATGCCGATACAATGGGTAACCTGGCGAAGAGCCTCTGCTCATGGACGACCACCATCCTTGCAAGTACTTCTACGAACCAGGAAAGACAATTTCATAAAATCGTCATTACGTTGGGAGATCCTATTCGGTCCTCCGGGATACTGTACCCGGGATTCATCCTTCACCTCTGGGGTTCTATGAAGTCCCATATCTAGAAACGGGAGAGCGGAGTACCCAGGAGTCTCCCTTCCCGAACACGTCGTGACCCGCACTCGAAAAAGAAAACGCCCGGATCTGTCGGTTTCTACGACCAGTCAAACCTTTGACCAACCCTTACCTAAGCAACAAAGGAGTTCCGAACAAACACACAGAAGAAAGTGATTTAAGAATATCCAATCCTATTGCATATATTTGTGCGTCTCGGGTGTCTTCCTGCATCACCCGTTGTGAGAAGATGATATAAGTAATTATGCAGATTCGCCATGTATGGAGGGGCCTGTTGAAAATCGTGACTAGTTTCGAAGTCATTTGTGGGGTTCGGAAAGTTAGCTCGGCCATCGGATGCTCGGCAAATATAATTGGCTGATTAAGAGAAATACGCCAGTGGACAAAATCGATTGTGGACTTCTAAATTACTTTTTAAATCTAAATTATGGAGTCTTGTGACTGTCTTGGTATATGTGTCGATTTTCGTGATGAAGGAAAGCATCGATGGCCAATCAGAGAGACGAATGTTTTACGATTGAAGGAATTTAAAAAGTCATCGTCTCTGAAAGAATAGTCAGAAAAAGTGACGAGCGCATGGCCAATGACATCGAGCAGTAAGCTTTTTCTTAATGTTGCGTAGCTGTACGCGGATTGCAGTAATTGTTTGCTGCTCATGGCAAGACAAAGCGGTCAACCTGGGAGACGCTGTCGAGGAGAATTTAGATTTACGTGAATTACGAAGAATTACGAATTACGAAGAAAGATTTACGTGTCTTGCGCAACCGATACTGCACGCAGGATATGGAGGAAGCTGGATGATTGCGATCGCGTTGAAGTCACGGGAATAAATGAGCTCGTCCTATGACATCGCAGGTCTGCACATTCTTCGCTTCTCCGGGTATATTCCTACACCTCTTCACTGGTATATGCAGGGTGGGCAAAATAAAAGTTCTCACTTCTTATTTTAATTGCTACGACTTTGCCAAATAAGACGCTCTCGAGCGATTTGGAGGATAAAAAGTACTCGTAAGGATCGAATGCAAGAAAATTGTATTTCAAAGTGATAAGCAAAGTAATACGGAAGCTCCCACCCTCCACCCCTCCAAGAGAATCAAGAGGTGAATATAAGTAAGCTGGACAGGAAATAATTCTTACCATGAGTGCAGACGAGCAATTCTCAACTAAGCAGCCGCAGGAGGCGACGCAGCAGATGCAGTCGTTACCGACGAACGATTGCCTTGAATCTCGGACGAGTCACGTCCTAACTGCTTCCCTCTAGTTCCGAATCGAGAGGAAATCTGCGAGTAAGGATCATCCAGAACGAATCGTTCGAGGACGCATCGTTATTTGATGACTGGCGTCGATGAAAGGCGAGATGGCCTGCCTGAATGTGGGTTGTCTTCGACATCACTGTTTCCACTGTTGATATGCAGAACCCACCGTTTCACACTTGCATAACTGTTAGACTCACCGTACGCATTCTGCAGTCACATGAATGTTTTCCTGGGTTACATATTCTTTTGTGAGAAACTCTATCAGAGGTTTTTGGTTCAGTACACCAAAATGTCACCAGTAGGTGACATTTTCAATGGCTACTGTGCTGCCATCTGGGCATAAACAATGAAATTCCCGATGTCCATCAGTAGCGGATACATAATATTTTTTTGTGAATAAAATCTAAAGATTGTCCGAATAGTGGCTCTCCTCTAATAAATAAGGGCTCACTACTTTCGTTACGCCCCTCGTATTTCACTGAATATGTGTACCCTCTTCAAACTCTAGTACTTAACTCGCGTACCTCATTCAACTTTCCCTATACGGTCAGTACTGTATAATAAAATTCCCTTTTTTGTTT